TGGGATCAACTCAGGACACCATCGACAGGTGTGGGATCAACTCAGGACACCATTGACAGGTGTGGGATCAACTCAGGGAAACATCGACAGGTGTGGGATCAACTCAGGGGGACACCAACAGGTGAGGGATCAACTCAGGACACCACTGACAGGGGTGGGATCCACTCAGGACACCAACATTCCCCGGCAGCCTAAACCTCATGGGCACCAAAGGAGGTTCCTCTGTGGAACTGATCCCTCTCCAAAGGGGGGGGAAACCCCCCCAAACCAGCCCAGAATTGACATTTTTTTGGGGGCCAGGGCAGGGGGATGGGTGGGGGCGGGCGCTCACCGGGGCGACAGGGCACGCAGAGCCCCCGGGAATCCCGGACCAGCTCCATGGTGTCCTCGTTGACCTTCACCAGCCGGATGGGGTAGACGTTGGGCAGGATCCGGCTGTTGAACCCGCAGGCTCCCACCTGCCCAAGGACAAAAAACAACCCCCCCAAAAACAAAACAAAACAAAAAAAAGCTGTAGGGATTCCACCTCCGGGTTTGAATTGGAAGGTCACCCCAAAATTCACCCCAAATGGGTTTTTTTTTCCAATTTTCTGCGCCGGTTGCTGAGGCAGCTCCGTTATTGAGAGGGGGGAAACAAAAAACAACGACCCAAATCAGAAAAAAAGCTGCAGGTTTGAAGGTGGTTTACGACATTTAAGGTTTGAAGGGGATTTATGACATTTAACCAATGGTTTGGAGGTGATTTACAACATTTAACCAATAGTTTGAAGGTGTTTTATGACATTTAACCAATGTTTTGAAGATGTTTTATGACATTTAACCAATTTAACCAATGGTTTGAAGATGATTTACAACATTTAACCAACGTTTTGAAGATGTTTTATGACATTTAACCAATTTAACCGACGGTTTGAAGATGTTTTACGACATTTAACCAATTTAACCGACGGTTTGAAGGTGATTTACACCATTTAACTGATGGTTTGAAGGTGATTTACGACATTTAACCAACGGTTTGAAGGTGATTTACAGCACTTAAACAACGGTTTGAAGGTGTTTTAGAACACTTAACCAATGGTTTGAAGATGATTTACAACATTTAACCAATGGACTGGAGGTGTTTTACGACATTTAACTGACAGTTTGAAGGTGTTTTAGAACACTTAACCAATGGTTTGAAGGTGATTTACGACATTTAACCAATTTAACCGATGGTTTGGAGGTGTTTTACGACATTTAACCAACGGTTTGAAGGTGATTTACAGCACTTAACCGATGGTTTGAAGGTGTTTTAGAACACTTAACCAATGGTTTGAAGGTGATTTACAACATTTAACCAATGGTTTGAAGGTGATTTACAACACTTAACCAATGGTTTGAAGGTGTTTTTGGTTTGAAGGTGTTTTACGACATTTAACCAATTTAACCAACGGTTTGAAGATGTTTTACAACATTTAACCAATTTAACCGATGGTTTGAAGGTGTGTTTGGTTTGAAGGTGTTTTACGACATTTAACCAATTTAATCGATGGTTTGGAGGTGTTTTACGACATTTAACCAACGGTTTGAAGGTGTTTTACAACATTTAACCAATAGTTTGAAGGTGTTTTATGACATTTAACCGATGGTTTGAAGGTGTGTTTGGTTTGAAGGTGATTTACGACATTTAACTGACGGTTTGAAGGTGTTTTATGACATTTAACTGACGGTTTGAAGGTGTTTTACGACATTTAACCAATTTAACCGACGTTTTGGAGGTGGTTTACAACATTTAAGGTTTGAAGGCGATTTATGACATTTAACCGACGGTTTGAAGGTGTTTTATGACATTTAACCAATTTAACTGATGGTTTGAAGGTGATTTACAACACTTAGCCAATGGTTTGAAGGTGT